TTCGATATACATAAAATAAATGGATCTAAAGCCTCCATATACACTAAGCCCGTGTCCGTGTACATTCCCGTTGTATCAGTTACTTACCGGTCACTTGGCTGTCTGTATTTGCTTTAAATCCTAATACTGGGGAAATAATCAACAAATGATCTTGACAGTGAAGATGAAGGCAAAAGGGCTTCGGTGGCTCACGTATTTTGTTGTTCATTGTTCTCTCAGGACATCGTTGCGTTGCAGTTCAGTTCAGTATCCAACACTGGGGAAACCGAAGTCTCGCGACTTTCCCCTAACCATTAATAAACATTATCACAGTGCCAGTCTTAGTAGTGGTTCCTCGAGGTATGTCATCTCATGCTAGTTCTTGTATGTATGTGCACATATCTCCATCTACCCGCACAAACAATAACTGTTATGGGTATATCTAAGTCGCCCTATTAACTTTACTTTATGGTCTTGTATGAATAGAATACAGAACAAGGAACAAATAAGAAAATATAAGGAAAAGTGAGTCAACAATTCATATTGAGACTTGATATTTTAATTCTTTTTTGGTGGTCATTTTCTCTGGGTTGATTCCCTTGACTCGGAATTTATATACATTCATTTAGAAACTTCAAGCACTAGTAGTAATCTGTATTTTGTTGGTATATTTGACCATTTCTGTATGTATCAAATTAATTTTTACAACAGAAAGAAAGAGAAAGAAAGAGAGAAAGAAAGAGAAAAAGAAAGAAAGAGAGAAAGAAAGAAGAAAGAAAAGAAAAATCCAAATCCAAATACTTATTCCACCTTTGATTTACAGGTACTTTTCTTCCTTCTAAATATTGCGTTATGAACTGTGTTGCTGATATCAGAATGAGTTAGGTATAAATGACACTCCAGCTTAGTAAAATACTTTGTACTAAGAATCTAACATTTATTTTATGCCACTTACACTATGTACAATGTGCCGCTTTTTGTGTTCAATAGAATATCTTATTTACACACAACTCACATGTGATGGATTTTGTGTCACGCACAAATGAGCATTGGCAAATGCTTCAACAAGTAAAATTATGGCAAATAAACTTTTTTTGAGGAAGACTTGGTGTCACAAGATGAAAAATGATAGACGAAAAGTAACATGCAATACACTCCCCCTACCTCCTTTGCAAGCAGGAAGGGGTGTTAGGTAATCACAAGAATCTCTCACTAACATCAGATGCCAGGCAAACATTAACATTTCCAGGACTTTCTTCTTTTTTAAAGACTCCAGTATTTAACTTTTACGGCATAAAATATACTTTGGGCTTTCATTTCATTGTATTCAATGCTCACAATGTTGGCAGAACCCGTAAGAAGTCAACCAAGAACCGTTCATAAGCACAGAAGTCCCTGATTTCCAAACTGCTAATTTACTTCTCCAAGTAAACCAGTTTGGATGCACTATGGGTTCCTCTTCCATCGTGTCAACATGGAATTGCTTTTCAGCATTTAACTACATCCCTAAAAAAAGGGGGATAAAGATGAAGATACAATCAAGCCTGTAGATGGTATCCTCAGGTAAATGGGTAATGACTATGGTTCACTTAGGAATGATGAAGACTTATGCACTGTAGCAAACCTTCAGACCAGTTACTGTCGCATAAATCATAAGAACAACGACTTTTACCTTTCTTACTAGGATGTTTCTACGCATAATTCACAATGCAACTAACTTCCCCTTCTACTAAATCTGTTTTGAGCAATAATGATGATGAAAATAATAATAATAATAATAATAATTATAATATCATTAATAATAATCATAATAATCACTAACCACTATACTAAAATCAACCATAAATATACTATCATATATTTCTTAATTGTCCACTTCACATTATTTTCCTAAATTGCTATATTGAAAAGCATCGCCGTTTTGCTCATTCTATCACCAAAATTTTATAAAAATTTCCTTTGTAAATCAAGATTTGGCTTTGAAAACCAGCTGTTTGCCTCTATGGTGTCTGCAGCTATGGCACCTTGGAAATAACTGTTGTTATCTAACTCCAACTTACTTAAACTACTGCTTAACTTTTGCACTTGCAGCTCTGACATGTGTAAGAATCAATCAATAGTTTAAAATCATGAAATAGCAAGAAGCTCCCCATACCATTAGTTCTGCAATCATAATGCGATATCAGATGAAGTCTTTCAGTCTGTAAACTTGAATTGTGCGAAAATACCAAACTTGAAGTGCAATCTTTCTGTGAAGTTAATAAGTGATTTTGAATTTCACAAGCATTTGCTGTCTCTTGGATGACTATGTTTTATATTTAGTGAAAGGAAAGACAAAATTTATCAATAAACTTGTTGTGCACACAAGCCATAGTTCAGTAGCTGACTTCATAGTATCATTCTATATACAAGTAACATTGTTCATTTCTAAATGTCTGGTATTTACGTTCAACTGTAAAAAAAGTACTGACTCTTAGGAACCCATGTCAAAAATAGTAACAATCTGAAAAGCTATTGGCATCCCTATTCTGAATGCAAACTGAAGAGCTTTGCCACTTCACTGAGATCATCGTAACTCTTGCCATCCTTGATGATCTGGAAAATAAAGATAAATATGAACAAAAAGGGGCACTAGAAATATCAAGTATAGAAAGAAAAAGAAGCTAAGCTTAAATTAAGAGTTAATGACAATATCTATAAACACATACATTCATAGGCACATGCAAATTCTCACATACATATATAAAAATAAAAAATATTCATGATGGCAAATTCAATAAAAATACTTGAATAAACATCAATTCAACTAGAAACTGTAAGATTATAAAAAAGAGAAGTAGAGGAGATGAAGAAAAAAATTCATATACAGAAAAATATCCGAAGGCCCTATCACACTAGCACTTTTCCCATCAATTTTTGCTTCTCTGCATGAATTTGAAGCTTTGTGCATATATCACATGCAAACAAAACACCTCCCAGATGGAAAAGGCAGCAAATGTTTCTGACTAATTTCCATCTTAATCTTCTGCTATTGAGAAACTAAGAAACTAATGTTTTTTATTGATATATCAGATAAAATAAATTAATGTATAAGTAATTTAATATTCCAGAAAATTATCATATACAATCTACAAAATTATATTTCTTCAAAATAACATGATATGTGTGAGAATACTCCAGCGATAATCAGGACTTCACTTGGATGATGCCATGTTTACTTACACGGGCACTATGTTTTCTGCCTTGGTAGTGTGTCGGCGTCAGCCATTTGCATACAGAAAGTTCATATGGAAATGCAAATATTGATGGAAAAAGTGCTAGTGTGATAGGGTTTTAGGAAAAGGAGGAGAAAAGTTTACTCTCAGCTTAATGCCTGGACAGATATAGCCACTACAGAAAATACACAAAATGGCAAAAGGATCCTTACCTTCCTTGCAATGGGCATACGGTTGAACACATTCCATAATACAATGCCTACGACAATGTTGTCTCGCAGATAAAAAACAACTCCTTTGCCATAATCCTCTCCAGACACAGGGGCATGGGGCTCACTGGAATGTGCTATGGTGCCACTTTCTGCAGCCTAAGGGGAAGAAGAGTTACAAGTTTAAAAGGCTTGAGCAAAACAAAGTGCTTCAAATCTATAACCCTTCTTGACAGCATCATAACATAAATAACTCTAATACTGCTTATATGTGGTTGTAAGAAAAATATATCATTCCTGGTTAAAAAGGAAACCCCTTCCAAAATAAAAATATTATCTTCTACTATACTAGCATCCGCCACTATATCAGGGTATAAAAACAAGTGTTAACTTTAAACAATGCCCCCATTCCACAAATTGCAATATCATCCCTGAGAACAGCAGTCCTGTAAAATGAAGAAAAAACACTTACACTTTCAGTTTCTGACCGCATGCCTTCTCCAGTAGCTTCTACCACTGCCTTTGGAGTGTCCTTCTCGGTGGCCTTAGCAAACACGCCTACGGTTGGTAGGGAAGAATCCACAATACCAATAGCCTCATAGCCAACATCAGGTCCCAGGTCTGACCAGAACATAGACTGGTGCCAGTATGGCTTGCCTGGAACATGTGAAATAAAGGATAATGTAAGGCAGATAATGAAAGCAAAAATCAGGTAGCATCAAAATATTTGCACTGGAGAGCACCAATTTCTGTTATATATATTTAAGTATTCAGTACTCAAGTAATATTTAATCAATGTCAATTCTTTGATAACAATGCCTAAGAAAACTATAACTTAATTTGGAATGAATATAAGCAATGAATATGAGTATTAGCTGGGAAAAACTTATCAATACAGATATGTCTGACAATAATGGAAACCTATTTACCTTCTAAAACACAGATATTTTGGTATCTTAATATCTGACTGTCAAATGAGAAACGTTATTTCTATTGCTTACAAACAAACTGGCTGAGCAGGTGTGTGTTGATTTTTGTGATTTCCATTTTCCCAACCCAAGCAGTCACATCTTGAGATCACCCTTGTATTTCTTCCAAAAAGAAAAAAAGATAGGAGGAAAACATTCAATTACAAATTAACAACCAGGGTAACTGAGCCCTAAACAAATCAATGACTTACCGACGCCCGTCATATTTTCACCAGCCAACCGTCCTGACACAATAGCGTGATCATGGTGCTCCACACGTCTACGTCCAAGCTTGATGTCATAAAAGCAGGCAGCATCTCCAGCCTTGGTGAATGCAAGAGATTTGAAATGTACTATTTTCACATTACAAACAGGAAAATCTGTAATCCAACTACTGGAGCAATGTCAATTTCATACTGGGGAAATAAAAAGGGCATGAGAACCCTTCAGTGTATAGTTGTGGAATCTTGATTTAAACCCATATTCTAGGGGAGTAGGAGGAATTAATGCTTACACTAAAAAGTCCATTCTACTGAACTCAATCTCAAACCAATTTTAGTGTTTCCTACCATAGAACAAAGAACCACTACCAAGGAGACACTTACCACCCAGAGGTCAGTCCTTGCCTCCAACTCAGCATTCACTCGGAAACCACCATGGACATCATCAACTTCCAGTCCAGAGGTCTTTGACAACTCGACATTAGGCTCCAGACCAACAGCTACAACAATGTGGTCAGTAACATGCTGAAGATAAGGAAATAGTTAGATCTAATGGTATCCTATATTTACTGTACAAAATATTTGCACATTTAAAGTTAACTTTGATCAAACTTTTCCAAATGTTTTTCACTACTGTAATGGTGGAGGAAGAATTAAAATATTATCTTTAGCAAAATATCTGGAAGCTCATATTAAGTTTGAAGAAAATAAAACCAGGTAATAAAACAAAAAAATCTTACTTCAACTCCAGTGTTGAGAGTTAACACCACTTTGCCATCATCATTGGTACTGACGCTCTTAACATAGGAGTTGGGGATGATGTCAGCTCCTTCTGACTTGACCTTCTCAGTGGTCCACTTGGAAAGGTATTCAGGGAGGACTTTTCCCATGTTACCTGACTCTGGGTACACCTGTGTCACCTTCCCTTTGCTTGTCTTTGCTGTGAAGTGCAAGAACAGTCATGAAGCACAGTAACCAGCCACTAACTTCCTTTTTCTAATTCTGGCACACACAAAATATCTTTTGAGACACTTTCAGCATAACAGCTTATCTATCAATCTCTCAAACTGGAAGATGATTAGATCAAAGGGCTAAGGACAACAAAGTTCACAATGGACATCCTTACCTTTGTGACCCAATGCACAGGCAAGTTCTGAGCCCAGGAATCCACCACCAATAATTGTGATGTGCTTTCCTTCCTGCGCTATGCTGTGGAGAGTCTGGAAGTCCTTAATGCCACGGAAAAGGGTAACTCTCTTCTGAATATCCTCTCCAGCTCGGTCCAGAATGGGAAGGGACTTGGGTTTGCCTCCTGTGTTTTTTGTAAATCATGAGTTATCATAAACTTACTTAATCTTACCCTACCATCCTAAATTAATTTCCATCTAAGCATACTTGTATTTTTTGAATTCATATTAACAATACAGCTCTCTCCTTTTATATAAAGAGAAAACTTGATTCTGCAAAACGGAGAGAATCTTTTTACTCATATACTCTCTCAATAATATCAATATACTTATTTTGAACTATGCTGCATATTACTGAATCTACCAAAAAACTCTATGCACATAAAGTACTATACTATATCTTCTTCCTCACATTACAATGAATTCCCATTCAGAGCTACTAAACTTTTCATAAAAGTTAACAGATCTTTACTAATCTCAAATCAATACAACTAAGCAAACAAAAAGCAACTTTTTAAGAAAGGAATCCGATAGATCTTCTCTCAAATCAGGAAACTTTTCTTGCTCTTCCTACCTGTAGCAATAAGGCACTTGTCGTATGTAATTTCAGTCCCATCATCCAAATAGACGCGTTTCTTGTGCACATCCAGCTTGACGGCCATGTGACCTTTCAGAACCGCGATGCCTCCATTCTCCCGTGTGGCTAAGGTTTCAATGGGGGTGTAATACTCATCGTGTTCAAAGAAGATGCTGTCAACGAATACAAATATTTTTACTTAACTTTAAGGCTAAGGTATACAGGTTACTAAAAATAATGTATGCATGTAAAGTACAAAATATAGGAGTAAAACAAACAAACAAACAAACAAAACAACATGAGGGTGCAATTCATTTAAACTAGATCACAGAACTGAAGCCAATGAAAGTAGGAGTTGGAAAAGGGAGAGCCAAAGGAGACAAAAATATGTAAAAAAGAAGGGAGATGAAAACCATAAACTTCCCACAAAACAAACCTCCTTTCTTTCCCGTTCCACTGTTTGAACCTCAGCTTTGTAGCTGTTTCGGGCTCCTCACTATACCACAGCTCTTTGCTGAGGGGTGGCCTCATGTAGGGAGCTTCACCCTCACCAGAGATTACAAGCACCTGCAAGACAATATTTGGGATTATAATCCCATCTAGCTCTAGAAAATGAAACAAAAGTTAAGCTCCTCGTCAAAAGTAAGTAGATAACCTTAATCGGAAGATCATTGTGAATATCATAACACATCTGGCTTTTCTAGATTCTGCTCCAAAAATTCTTGATGTAGGGCTGAATTCTTCAATTTTCTTTATTAGAAATCATGGTCTTCTAGTAACCCAAAACATAATATAATAAGAAGCTTAACTTCCTTTAAATCTAAAATTTTACAAGCTCTAAACAAGTCAGTGTCACAACACTTCACCTAAATAAGCCCATGCAATAAATTTTTGTCCAATCAAAGGCATCTTGGAAGATGAGACAGATAGTTGTCTTCATTTCCCAAAGAGTCAAGGCATTACAAAACCCTAATAGATCCAAAGTAGAACTTCAAATGCATTTCAGAACTAACCTTTGCTTTAGCATCTTTTGCCTTGATGGCCCTAAAAGCCGCTACTGAGGCTGTTCCTGCACCAATTATCAGGTATGGAACATGTTCTGGCACAGATGGAGCTGCAGCTGAAAATTTACCAGGCATATTAGGAAAAGCAGGTATATCATTTATTGAAAAAATTGAATGAGGTTAATTGTATGAGAGCTATGGATTATAGGAGATTCTAATAAAAAGGTGTATATTCCAAGAATAAAGTTTCAAATATCAAAATACAAAATATTACATTCAATCTTAAATTAGGACATGTATAGATAAAAACACACACATGCACTTGGACAGACAAATTTCCCGACATGACATGGCAATGCTGTTAGCATAATACCTTCACAACTACTGCAATTATTTTAATACAAACCTGAGTACTCACACTATTCATTAACCTGAAACCCAAAAGACTAACTTCTGCAGAATTTTCACTGCCCTCGACCTAACAATAATGCTGAGTATATAATTGTCCTATAATTGTCAACAAAATAACATAAAAGCAAACAAGCACATACAAGTGTCACATACTTCATTCCAATAGATATCAAAATAATAAACATACTTTCTATTTCCCCCCCCTAGACAATGTTCCATAATGGTGAAATTAAATCATGCACATTAATGCTTACACTGACTGTTAGGTAGCACTTAGCACTTTATCATTAGTAGAGTAAATCTTAAATTAGTACTAAGCAACAGCATTCTCAAACCTTCAGGCTTCACAGGGGTGACTATATTGTCATTTGCTTTTTCTAAATTGGGAGAGGCTTCAGTTACAGCAGCCTCCTTGACAGGCTCAGATTCAGCTGTAGGCTCTACTGAGGTAGCAACTTCAGTACTAGGTTCTGCTTCGGTTGCAACTGGTTCAGCAACATCTGCTTTACCCTGGTCAGATATTTCAACAGCAGGTTCTGCTTCAATTATGGGAGCTGGTTCAGCAACAGGTTCTGATTCAGTAACAGAAGGCTCTGATTCAACTACAGGAGGTGCTTCTACAGCATGTTCTGTTTCAGCTGCAGGAGCTGCTTCTACAGCAGGTTCTGTTTCAGCTGCAGGAGCTGCTTCAACAGCCGGTTCTGTTTCAGCTGCAGGAGCTGCTTCAACAGCCGGTTCTGTTTCAGCTGCAGGAGCTGCTTCAACAGCCGGTTCTGTTTCAGCTGCAGGAGCTGCTTCAACAGCCGGTTCTGTTTCAGCTGCAGGAGCTGCTTCAACAGCCGGTTCTGTTTCAGCTGCAGGAGCTACTTCAACAGGTGGTTCTGATTCAGCTGCAGGAGCAGCTTCAACAGCTGGTTCTGACTCAGATTTAAGGCTGTTTCAACAACAGATACTTCTTCTATAGCAGGTTCTGCTTCAGGTTTTGAAGAAACGTCAACTGCTGGCTCTGTTTAGATAACGAGGCAGATTCAACAACAGTTCCCAAAATAGCTTTGAGGACTGCTGCAGCATCTGCTTCTGTTCTAAGAATTAGCTCAACCAGAGGTTCTACTGGAAACTCAGGGATTGGTTCTGTCACAGACTGAGTTTGATCTAAAGCTGGAACTGATTGGCAAACTGATAGAATTAGCTTAATAGTGGCTTTAAATAAGACTAATTTAGTAAATATAAATCTTAATACAAAGTATTATAACTGACACTCAATTACTATAATTTAGATGTTAAGGAAAGTGGAGGCTGTAAATATTAGAGCAACTATAATCTTTTTGGAGAAAGCTATATTGAAGTTATTTATAATGACACTTTACATCACAGAGTGAGAAACTCCACATGCAAAGGAAAGGGAAAACTTGTGAAGGGAAAATTTCGAAGCAATTTCTAAAGTCAAATATATATTACTTTATAGAGTCTTCAATTTCACTTCCTCTTCTTATAAAAGTAGTATTGTACAAATACTATAGGAAGTATGTAAATGATGATATCGAATCATAATCTAAGGATATTTTTTTTTAATATACTACACCATATCACTGTACAAAATACATAATTTTCACACGAAAATTATACTTTCAGTTCATTGATAATATCTAGTTCTTATGCTAGTTCACATTAATAGACATCTCTGATATGTGGCACTTTGGCACTAGAAGTATGTACCATGTGCCAAGTCTTGTGACTAGGGAGATGATGCCAAATCTGCCTACACACATTCATTAATTATCTGCAAAACAAAGTTATTCTGACAAAGTGCTCAATGTCCTACAAAGTCAAGAGTTTCACCACCACTACATCAGAATCAGATAATTACGAACTGCAGATGTACATGACAAGTTAGATGGAAAATTTGCAATAGCAACAGTGCAATTGTTGTTGAGAAGATGGGTGCCAAGTGATTTGTGGGCACTGAGCCAAGAGACAACACCGTACCTCTGTGATACGGCCTAGATGCAGTCTCACCCAGCTGTGAGAGGGAGCTGGCAAAGGTGTCTGACACATCCTCCCAAATGTAGCTGCCTTAACTTACTGCTTCAAATACATCGAAATCAGTGTTTCCTGTCAGTCTTCTCAATTTAGGAACATTTACTGATCCAATCACAATTTCTATTGAGGGTATTCACTATGCTTTTTCTGTACTTAGCATTTACATCCAAGAAAATCAGTACATTTACT